TCAACTAGCCTATCAATCCTCCTTATTGGATGAGCTTACTGGTGCTCCACCTCCAGATGTCGAAAAGCACTAGGATTTCTTGCAGACGACGTTGCTTTCTTCCGGTCAATTATACTGTAAAATCGTTAGGCTTCATCCGATAGGCTGGATCCCTGCACGCTCGGTAGAATTGTTTGACCGTCTCCGAGCTATCTCAGCTGTTTCAAGCTGCGATGAAGCCCGCTGCAACCACAAACAACAACTCAAACAAAGCCCACGTAACGATCGCAAAAGTTGGTGGTCTCATTATGCTTCGGGGATAGAGACCGCAGCCCTCTCTGGAAAATTTCGCATGCTTTTCCAAATCATTCGGATTACTGGCCACAGTAGACCTGGCTTCAGTGAAGCTATTTGCAGGCTGATGGATCACCAATCACTAGTTCACGTAGGCCCATTGACTGCTAGGCAGAGCACTTCAACTCTCAGTTCAGCTGGCCTCCTCCTTCTGGTTGTTTAACAAGTGTGACTAATTGCGTGCCTTGGAAAGCTTCGCTGGAAGCAAGTTCTGAAGCGGAGGCCTATCTTGAGCTCCGTCACTTGAAACGATTCAAAGCTGTTGGCTGAGGCGGACTTCTTCTGGAGCTGTTCAAGTACGGTGGCAAGGCAATTGTTAACCAGTTAACAGCTCTGTTCGTCAAACTCGTGTGTAGAAAAAGTTTCATCCACTTGGAGCGAGTCAGTTTTAGTCCCTATCTTCAAAAACGGTGCTCGTATCTCATGCACCAACCACAGAGGAATCAATCTAACCTCCAGCGCATCTAAACCGCTAAGATCAATTCTACTGCCCAGACTAACACCAATTCGTGAACTACACTACCGTGAGGAACAAGCTGGTTTCCGCCACGGTAGTGGGCGTGTGCACTACATGTTTACACTCCGCCAACTACTCGGGCAATGCTACTATTATCGACAGTCTACCACTGTCGCCTTTTTGTACATCCGAGCTGTGTTCGACGCGGTCGATCAGCCTGCTTTATGGCGTTGTCTGCAAAAGAATGGGGTACCCGAAAAGTATACCGCCATATTTCGGGCTTTATACAGCAAGGTCGCTGGCAAATTGATAGCTTATAGTCAGCTCTCTTCACCTTTCGCCATCACTAGCGGTGTGCGATAGGGATGCCCCATGCATGTTTCCGTTGCTCTTCAAATTTGCGATTAAGGATGTCGTATTAAACACTCTGGAAGGTCTTCGGGGTTCTGGAGTAGAGATGCTTCTAGACAACCGCGCGACGGACTTGGACTATGCTAATGATACTGCCTTGCTTGGTGACGACCCACAGATCATGCAGATCGTTCTAAACCGCTTGGTGATTGAAGCTACCAAGTATAGCATGACATTTGCCCCATAAAAATGCAAGGTCCTACTCCAGGATTGACATCCACCTGCCCACGGTCTGATTCTTGAAGGAGTGCAGCTTGAACGTGTAGATAGCTTCATTACCTTGAGAGTTGCGTTTCTTCCGATGACACTATTGGAAGAGAGATTTCTTTCCGTATTGCCAAAGCCCGATCAACTTTCGTTGAAATCGGTAAAGGGTAGGGTCTACAATGCGTGTGTTTGCGGGGTCCTGTTATACGGAAGTGAGTCCTGGCCGATCCGTGTAAATAATTTGCGTCGGATTTCGGCCTTTGACAACGGTCATCTGCGGAGGATAGCTCGTGTGTGGTGGGAAGATCCAGTTTGGAATGACGCGCCCTGGGTCATATGGGCCTCCCTTTCGATAAGCTAATATCGCTGCACCAATTGAGGTGGCTAGGTCAAGTCCTAAGCATGCCATGCGAGCGCTTACCACGGCGCGCTCTATTCGCTCCCACAGGGCCGCATTGGAAGAAATTGCACGGTGGTCAACCTAACACGTGGCGACAAAAGGCCAAGGCACTGACTTCCAGTCTAGCTGTTGTCGGGCCCGTACGTCTTCCAGGGTGGGGGGTCAGAAATGAAGGACATCGCTGGTTGAAGGCTCTTGAGAATATGGCCTGTAATCGGGGCCCACAGAAGGTCTACATAAGTCTATGCATTGCGGAAAGGTTATTAGATGTGGATCATTGCTTGACAATATGGCGGCTAGTAACTAACAATATTGTGCTTGTGTATTCCCAGGTTTATGCATAACTTACTAGTGGTTTTATTTCGATGGCAACCTAGTTGTCAATAGGTTTATTCGCCTCTGGTACATCTAACAGATAGACTCAAACGACGGTCATGGAAACCATACGAAGGACGCAGATTAATAACGCGGGAGCCTGGGCCGGAAATGACGAGGCAAATGTTGCGTCTAGACTCTTCAGTTGGGCTATGCTTGGTCAACTCACAGGTGTTCACTACCCTCGAGTGACGTGTCAGATGTCGGTGCAAAAGAAGCCAGCCTTGATAAGGTGCCTATGCGTTCAGTGCCACCACATAAACGAATTGTTCCATGGGACTGCTAAGTGTTGTTATGGGAGACGGCGTGCACGGTTCTCGTGACTCAGTCATAGAAACGGCTACGGTCTAGCTGTCGATGTACGCAAGTCTGAAAAGAATTGTTCATCGAATGTTACGAAAGCAAGGTGCGTAGTGAAAAGTAGGCCAGCTCCAGATTAATTGTGCCCTACCTCAGCAAGCCTCTCGGTAGTATTCCCTAGGGCTTAAATTGAGTATGTGACATGTGGATGCAGAAATAAAAGCCGCCCATCGGTGCTCGCAGTTACATCGACAGTAAATCTGAAAACAAATGCCGTTAGCGGTCGCTACTGGAATCAATGGCTGATAGCTGGTGAGGAAACCGTCGCGGAGTTATGTCAAACTCATACTGAGTTTTATTAGCCAATCGCTCGTGTTCGCGACAGCAGTACTTGCTAGTTGATGAGTCTCGGTTGGTGGGTCCACAGAAATCACATCCCAACGAGAACCCGACAGACAGTTAGTGAATCGCATTTGGGTTAAGGGAAAACACTTTGGTGAGCTCACTGCTGGTAATAACTACATCCGCAATCGCTGTGCATACTCACATGTGTTCGCTCCAGTCCGGAAGCAGAATATGGGAGACACATGTTGACCACAGCAGGCAAAACAGTGCACATGAGAGTGATTTGGCCGCATGAACGATTGAGTGCCAAAACTGAGGGAAGCAGAGAAATGGGAGGAATGAAAAATAATCGGTTGACTATGGAACCGATAACAAATGTACTCGTAATTACGGTTGAGGTTGAGACAGAATCGAATAGCAAGGAATGCCTCCATGGCTGCATCTAATGCTCACCATATGTCCAAGTCATGATAACAAAGGGAATAATGGTATATGACGGGTAAAGAAATAGATGCTTAATATAGGATGGCCAGAAAGAGAACCACAGAACGGCGAAAAGAAAACAACGATGAAATGAAAATCTTTTTGGTGGACTCACCACAATGTTTACGGAGAGGCGTGCAGAAAAGAGCAACCTCTGTTGTGTAGGTTAATTCTGGGTGTGTAACGTTCGTCACGTTAGATCGTTTGGCGAAGTACACAGGCTATATCTCGTAATGAAAGGTGGTTTAGAGCAACGTCAAGGCGTTTTGTAAACACAGATAAAGTAGGGGCGGAAACAAGATTCCACGGCTGGCAGACACGAAGTGAGTAAAAATTGAGCCTAAATTCCGGCCGACTGTATTGCGTGGCCAACTTGAGCAGGTGGTCCTTCAATTTCGTGTTGTAACTGTTGCACTAGGTGGCGGCAGACATGCGTTAAACGCCGCTCATCAGCACTGGCCGGAAGAAGAGCTTCCGACAGAACTTGCTATAAACTGATGGAGATTTAGGAATCTGTTCGCGTGGGACAATGTGCGCAAGTATCATGGAGCAACCAGACTGCGGTTGTACCCGCAACGGCGAAATTAAGTAATTCTTATCGGAGATGTCCGTTCCTAATGATGGTGAATTTGGTAGCAAGTATGCTAAGCAATAACCTATAGACAATAAAACAAAATGGCTTAAAACACCACATCCATTATCCAAATTCAAAAAAAGATGAAGAATCACAGACAGGAATCAAAGATAGTTCTGATATGTATGTAGTCATGTGTGGTGCCGCATGCCTCATGTTGTAAGCACCATGCCTCCTGATCGACTTAAACTAAATTTTCTTAACCTGGATTAAAAATATTCCACTTTATATGATTTTCTCAATTCTGTTATAATGCTGCAGATTCCGTGTCAATTTTCTTCCAATAAATTCTGTTGGTTGTTTGATATCCCCGGTGTGGCCGCACTTGATGCGAACGTTGACAAGGTGCCTGCCTGCCTAACACCACCTTGATTACTGGCACCAGGAGGCAGCTGGTCATTGTTGGGGGGGGGGGGGGGAACGGGGGTGTACGGTCCTCGTGACCGTGCTAGGCTCAAAGAGTGGTTCCATCCACTGTGCAGCGGACTACTGCCCAGCCACTGCCTTGCTTACGTCTGGTACGCATGATTTCGCACAGAGATAAACAGGAATGCTGCTGCTGTGCATGTCGAAGAAGTGTGGACCGCCTCCGTTGATGAATTGTGGCGCCTGGTCTTATTCCTTCGGGCTTACACTGGATATGTGATGTGCGGTGGGAACTGTGGGCGGCGCAGCGCAAGTCACCCATGGTCTCCCTGTAGACGCGGGCATCCTGTGGCTACCCTATGCGGGCCCTAGTGACAGCAAATCCGGATCCGGATGCCGCCAACCATCCATATATTTGTGCCTCGCGCTGATGGATGTTGCATACATCACGCTAGTTCACTGCAGTTGGGATACACCGGCTTACACTTAAACTAAATATTCCTAATCTGGATTAAAAGTAATCGACTTTATTTGATTTGCTCAGTTTTGTTATTATGCTGCATATTCCGCGTCAATTTTGCGCTTTTAGTTTCCTTCAAATTCTATGTCGGTTGTTTGATATCCCCGGTGTGGCTGCGTTTGATGTGAATGTTGACAACTTGCGTACCAGTTTAACACCATTTACCTCGAATACTGGTTCTAGGAGACTGCCAATCTTTGCTGGCGGACGGGGTGCACGGTCCTCGTAACCGGCAGCCTTGAATCGTTTCAAGTGTTGAATCGCAAGGCAAACTTCCGCTTCGCTGGGTGGATTATGTGTGACGACTCAGAGCGGGCATTTGGTTTTGCAAGGCATATACGTGGACGGTGAAGGCCAACTGAACTGGGAATGAAACTGTTCGGCCCATCCATCCAAACGTCTACGTGGGTTAGCAATCGGCGAACCATCCGCTTCGCAAATAATCTCACTAATACCAGGCTTTCTGTGACCTGTGGATCCAATGAGCTAGAAGAGCTTGAGAGTACTGCCAGAGAGAGCAGCGGCTTCTATTTCCGAAGCACTATGATGCTTCACAATCAATGTGTCGGCTTAGTTTGAGCTGCCGGCTTACAGAATGGAGCGCTTTATTATGATTAGACTTCGCTAGTAATATGTATGCGGCGGTCAAATTGATCCAAAGAGCGCTTGAAGCTCCAGGTTTTCATAGGGTGCTGAGCGAAACCTCGGACTAACTGCCTGAAAGATAACATGGTCTACTGCAAGAACGTCTAGTGCTCGTCAATGTTCTGCGGGGAGTTGCAGCTGATTACGTGAGCCAGGGAAGACTGATAGCTCCGCTAAATCGAGAGAGTATATAGTTTATTTGTAAATACCTTACCGTGCTTTGTTTTCGGGAACCTTACGAAGCTCATGCAAATGTTCGCACAGACAAAAACATGGCCTGAGCCAATAACTGTGGATAATAAGGATCAGCAATCCTTTACAGTACAAATCCATCTGAAATGGATTGCGATATGATCAACCTGAGGCCATGATTGAGACGCAAAAGCGGGGCCGCCAAGTATCAGAACGTCCCATCGAATGCTTGAAGCTGGTGCTCGAGAGAAGCTGACGATCGCCTTTGCACAGTGTGAGAAGTCTCCACTATCTGAGTGGCTCTTAACGAGCGCATGGTGACCACCGAGGTGACTTTCGTATGATGACAGACGATCAACCCGTGGGTTTTGATCTCCAGCAAGGACAACAATATATAGATTGCAAGCTATGCTCAAGAGCTGGTGAAGTTCACCATAGAAATTTACCTTGACCGAGTCGCAACTGCAATCAGTTGGAGCGTAAGCTGAGACCATAAAGATTGCGTCTCTCCTCATGATGTTTGTTGATTCTGTATGATCCCCAAAGCCGCACTACACACGGCTATTAATCAGGAACCAGATCAGCAGTGCGGCCCCGGCTCTCCTGCTTACTGCTACACCAAGGCCGACCAAGGCTGCCGTAGCTACTTCTGTGCCATTTGATAGATGTAGGAGAAATATTGCTCCGTGGTCGGTGGGAGATTTCAACTCAATCACAGTGCTGGGATCTTGCTAGAGAGTTTTGGAAAGACAACAAACATCGACGGTGAGGGATCCCTAAATGCGCGCAAGACCAACCTGCTGCCCGAGGGTATGTACAATGAAGCATGCTAAGTGGAAAGAGGACCGAGGCAGAAGGAGGGCTAGTGGGTGAGCTCTATGGGCGCTGATGAAACCATCGGAAGTAGAATCATGGAAACATGAATCAGAAGTAAGCAAATGCGCGAAGAATATTTTTTCCGATAATTCTCTTTGGGTGTATACAATCATGGATCAAAATCTTGGAGGGAATAAAGCTCGTAGAGACTTGTACAGAAGGCAACCAATTCATTAATCAGGCAATGTGAAAACTGTATCAATGGTTTGATCAATCAGGCTGTCTTTCAACTCTAGCAGAATGCCCATTTGTTACGTCAAGTTCAGAAAGAGAGACAAAACACAAAGCGTTAAGCGAACAACTGTTTTGGATTAATTCTTTCTCAGGCTCATACCGTAATATACATTAGGGTAAGGTCTGTTGCAATCGTCAGTATAACAAAGAAACAATTGATCAGAAAATTTAACTTGTGATCATGGCAGTCATCTGGTCAAGTGAATGAAGTCAGATGGAGTTGCGGAGTGCCACCACTTTCTTCCCGTCTGGTGGACTGGACAGGAAGCTGTAATGTTTGTGTCTTCTTCCGGACACACAAGTCCGGATTTGTCAGGCGTATGCATACTGCCTCAGCGGTGGTAAGTAGGCTTGCTCTTACCCGATGGTTATGCATTGGTGGTATTCTGTAGAGAATCTGAAAGGATGTTTGTTTGTTTATTTGGTGGACTGTGTTAATTAGATGGTTCGTAATCGCGCTGTAGTTTGTCCTATTCTCGCGATGGGAAGTGTTCCTTAATTCTCTTACCCAAATGCCTGATCGTCCGTCCAATGTACCTGGCCCCGCACGGGCAGATGAACTGGTAGATTAACATTGATTGGAGATGGTCGGGCACTCGGTCTTTGGATCTCGGAACCAGTAAAGGTCTGCTCGTGAAAACCACATTCAGCTGAGCCGCATTAAAAGTCTTTTGCAGCTTTGCTACAGTCGACGCGTGCACATCTCAACCGCACTATTTCCTTTGACTTGAAGAGTCAAGTAAAGCTGTTTCTCTTCAACGGCCTGTGTTTGGTACTTTTGGCATGTATCGCCTCATATGGGTCTCGATAAATCGCTCCGGATATCCATTCTCCTGAAGTGTTTCTTTGATTCGTACGAGTTCGGCTTTTATGGTGTCTTCGCTGACGAAGAATTATTCGAAAACAATTGTTCGCTTAAAGCTACGTGTTTTGTCTCTCTTTCTGAATCAGACTGTCGCATTAGGAAGCACGTAATTAAGGCAGGTCATGTGTCAAGTCCAAGGCCAAGACAATTTCAGAGCAGTTGGCAATCTGCGCTGTTTGCACAGCTCTGGTTTCAGAACATTGATTACATTGGCTTCGAAAATGGTCAACAGATGTTTCTTAATCTGTTTTGGGTAGCGTTTAGGAATGGTGTAAACGAATCGCTGAACATTGTCCTGCGTCACTACGAAAAGGCACCGTAAAATCCATCAACAGTTCCGTTTTACAACACGGTTGACACTGGACATCAAGTCCAGATGAACCAGTCGTTTAAAGTCGTTTATAAACTCTTCGAATTCGGTTCCGCGTTGTCGCTCCAGTCTGCTGTATGTGTCTTGGTTGCGTTTACTCGGGACTGGCTTGCCTAACAACCTCCTAGTGGTGCCAGCGGGGTGGTTGGGGATTTTCCCGTTCCAGCTAGTGGTTCGGCGGCAGTGTTCCAGGACGTGGTGGGTTTTCGCCCGGCAAGCGTCCTCCCTATAAAAAGTCATATATGTCCGTTTAACAACACTGTGACGTGGCGGATGTGACTCGCCACTAAATAAAGTCACTGCCCTGTGCTTCAGTCTGGCGAAGCATTGTATTCTAGCAACCTTATGCTGTAATTCTGGAGATCATTGGACCCCTGTTTGACAAACGAACAAACGAAAGGCGCATGAACTGAGCAATCAGTCACCGGCTCCTAATGGGCGCGATACCCTGAATTGGCTCCGCAGCCTTGCGGGCAGGCTATTCAGCCAAAGGGTCGGGGTGGCATCCCCTAAGTCAATACCCTACTTCGGCTTGGGCAACCGGGTAGTATCTCGCCCTCTGACGGAACCATGGACTGCGATGTATTGTGTGTTTTCTTTTACTATTTCTGTACCTACTTTGGAGTCCCATGGTTACTGATGGCTCTATGTCTATCCGTAGACAGTTGTATATATATATATATATATATATATATATATATATATATATATATATGTGTGTGTGTGTGTGTGTGTGTGTAGGTGTGTGTGTGTGTGTGTAGGTGTGTGTGTGCGTGTATATGTGTGCTCGGCACGGTAATCTTCTCCCAAGCGACTAGAAACTATTGTCTTGATCGCACGGAATGCGGAAACTCGCCAAACAAGAGAATATAATACCGCAGTTATGGGGAGGGGGAACAATAGACACTGGTGCATTTCCACATAGTTTAATAGTGAAAATGAAGTAACCTAAGAAGTCGGTTTTACTGGAAAACCGGGAAATAAACGATAATATCGTCACATGATGCGTAAGCAGGCTTCATTCAAGATAGGGAGACCAAAGTCCCAGCCCAAAGTAAAGGAGAGGCTGTCTGGTGCATGCAAATTCCACGAGAGGAGAAAGAGTGAAAAGATTTGATCTTACTACGGCGAGACGACTTGTGTTCATCAACAAACTACGTGTATGGTGCATCCATGCGTTGATACTAGTCTGTCATTGCACAAAATATTGATACTATGGAATAGCCAGAGCTAGTGAGTCTGTAAGTGGAACATTACTAGAGTGGAAACGCTATTCCGTCATCAGCTTGTAAGCCACCTTGTCACTTGAAGCGGTCTGGAGTACAAAAGCATAAAATGAGAAGGCGATAATCCATTCAGAGTAGGGGAGGAGAGCCATGTGACTGTGAGGCTGCGCCTCGGATGCGCATCGAATGGCCGGTGAACTCACAGCAGGAAGCGCATCTGTGCTTACAAGGGCCACGTTTGGTGGCCAGATAAGGATGATCGTATCGAGGTTAAAATACAGTGGGGGTTAGGAAAAATAACTGGTCAGTTCAGGGTCTCCTTGTTGTTTTGGACGCGTGAGAACGTGTAGCTATCGAGTGACATATTGGGAGTTAGTCGATCAAAGCTGTTATGCTAAACTGAGATGTAGGTTAGACCGCTGAGCTGAGCAGACATTTAGTCACCAGTCGAGATGACATCTTCAGTGCGTGGTGGTGGTGGTGGTGGTGGCAGCTGTGGTGGTAGCAATAGCCTTGATAACAGAAGTTGCGTTCCATACGAATACGGGATGGATGCTAAAATGCTCATTACGGTGCAGTGATGGTCACTCCCACCCGATAGGTGTCAGCTGCATCGAAACGGTAGCTGTATTGAACAGGTGGTCGCGTCCATTATGCACTCCAGCATGAACATATATAAAACAACACATCAGCATACGTAACCAACAACAGCCACAAATTAGGTGGCACGATGGGGTAAATTAGACCGACTTACTGCCGAAAGTGTGTACCAGGTAGACAACGGCTCAGCCACATTTGGTTTGGGTGGGTGGCGGATCAGCTGATGGTACTGATGCACATCGAACCAGGGACCGAAGACCAAAGAGGCGGGGCACAGCGTATAGGATAGCCAAAGTAAGTATTGACGGTAACCGAAGTTGTCGGGATACAGTTCATCCGATGGAACGTCGGTTACGTGTGCCGTGTGATGCAAATCAAGTGCAAAGGAAATAGCGCGCATGATTATAATCATGACGCTGCCTGAACGATAAAAAGAACACCAGTTCAAGAGTATAGAAGGCTGTTTCACACGGTGCTATAAATGGTAATCAAAGTGCACAACTGCGCGGGTGATTTATTGCGGCGTAGTCATGAAGGTGTTGGACAAATCCGATTAGACGTGATGGCGCTAACGTAGAGGTTTAAAACTACACTGATCATTCAATTATTGACGTGTCAAATGATGGTCACAAAAGAAGGGCGAGGGTCACAAGGTAATAGAACTTGAACACCAGTGAAACACGGAAGGATCAGTGAGGCAGAAAGCCACCAGTCCTCAATTAGAGGGGAAAAGATATCTCGGCACGCAGACCGAAGAAACACAGAAATGACAAGTGACTGGATTAAAAACCGTTAGTGGTTTGGAAAATTAAACTAATCGTGAGGAGCAAAAAAGGCGTTGCAAGGTCATTGAGCTGCCTCGGTAAACGCTGCGGAGAATGAGAGCGCAGATGAAAGCATAGAAGATGAACACACTGATGTCTGTACAGTTGCGAAACAACGAAGAACTCACCACGAATTTGATGCCACTGAACGGGATCCATGTAACATTCACTAACAAAGGAAAAGAAAGGTAGATGGAAAACATCCTACTCGGCTGAGATGGAAAGTAATTATGAACAGATTTTGGCGAGTGTTGTCAAGGAGGGAAAATATAGTTAATATTGACGGAAAAAATCCGAGTCTCCAACTACTATGCAGAATGATCCTTTAATATCACAAAAAGCTACATCTCAAGCAAAACGAGGCATGAATATAACCATAAGACGCAACAAATCATTCCAATACAAGACACCAAGCGCCAGCGTGATTAAACCAGCAAGGAGAAAATGATGATAGATGCATTTCACCAATATTTAAGGAAAGCAAATTGAAGCGTAAGTCCAATCCAGTTACCGTGAACGAAAAATACTCCACAGAGCATCGAAGCAACAATGAATAGGGTGAGTACTCCAAGCGTACGCGTAAAGCGAGAAGTGGCAACGGTGCTAACTAAGCAAAACACCGTTCAGTGACAGACAGGTATGCTATATGCTACGGTTTCGGGTAAACAGCAATTCCAGATGTCTCAGAGTGTGCTCATTCCTCGCATTGTTGAGAATATACCATTTATTTAAAACTGACCGGTGGAACATTTATGACAAGTGGATAATTCCGAAAGTAGGGGTGAAAGCAAAGAAAGAGGCGCTACAGGACTTGATAACACTGAACAGATGGTAGGTAATGATCAATCCGAGGTGTTGATAGGTGGCGGCAACAGGTCCTTCGTCAAGTAGCCACGTTTTCTCTCTCAACCCTGTAAGTATTATCAGTCAATCGAGCTAATGGTTTTTAGCACCTGGGTCAATCTATGTGGGAAGGAAGGAACACGTTTCCAAAAACACACAGTTGACCCAATGGAATTCATCAAGCCATTAATATTAGTGGTGTTGTGACAATGAGAACATTTACTCAACATGTTCTCCATCTACCGCTCTAGTGGCAGATTAATTATGAATGGACAAGTAGCTGAATACATAGGAAACAGCTGGGAAGATGATATGAAAGAATTTTGGGGAAAATATGGAAATCCAACCCGCAGAAGGACAAGCGGGAATCGGCACCAAGTGAAGTTAAGCGACGATTAGGGGCATTACGCTACAGCAAAATACAAGCGCACACGAGAAAAATAAATAGGACGACGCTCATAGCTGGCAGTATCCGGGTACGGATTTGCCTGTCATTCTGGCCAACCACAGGAGGCCTGCGCCTAGAGAGGGACCATGGGTGGCTTGCGCTGCACCAACCACAGCTCCAATCACACACCCTATATCCAGTGTAAACCTGAAGGAATAAGACCGGGAGGTATGTGGATGGGAGCCACGTTTCATCAACGGAGCCGGCCCACACTCCTTCACAGGCAAACACAAGCACGCTGTATGTGGGGAATCAACCGCACACAAGACGGTGGCTGGACCGTAATGCGCTCCACACTGAGTGCATGGAACCGCTCTTCGAGCGTAGCACGTTCACAAGGACCGTGCACCCCGTCCCCTCCAGCAACGACCAACTGTCTCCTGGAGCCAGTATGGACGAGGTAGTGGGTAATAGACAGGTAGGCACCTTGTCAACATGCACATCAAGTGCAGCCACATCGGGGATGTCAAACAACAGCCAATCAATTGAAACGACGAGATCAAATAAAATATATCTGTTGAAGCATACGGCTGTGCAGACATAAATTAGCATATGAAGTAAGTTGGTCAGCAATGAATCCGCGATAAGTACAAAATGTCCACAGGTTATTCAAAAAATGCTACAAACGAAATATAGTTAATGAAGATGGCCACAATTAGCGTACGCAACGTGTGCAAGCTAATGGAAGACTATTCAGGTAGGAAGAACAGACCAAATAAAGTGGAGTGAAATTTATCCAGCGTAAAATGAGCTAAGTGTAAGTTGGTTTAGTCCAACTGTGGTAAAGAAGCATCAAGAATGCAACATCAGCCAAGGCATACACTTACATTCACACATATATCCAGTATGTACTGGTTAAATCGTGACATCTCTGTACTGTTACTGATGTTAAGCGTTTGTATTACCGTGATCGTGCCTTTGGAGGTGCGTCTCGCACCGTCGAGAATAAATCGACCATTTATTTATTTTTAGTAAGTACTGGTTAACTTTTAACATTGCTGTATCATTACTGATGTTATGCCTTGGTATTACCATGATCATACTTTTGAAGGCGTGTCTCGCACTGTCAAGAGCAAATCATTGTTTATCTACTTATAACCAATGTCTCACGATGGATGTGATCGCAGACATCTGGAGATAGGCCATAATAACTGCTTTGCCCAAAAATGGATCTCAAAAGTATCACCCGATCGCACGCACATCTGTGCTTCTCAAAGTTTTCGAAAAACTGTTAATTTCGCGGATGTTTACAGCCGCTCCACTTCTTCGATTACTCAAATGCCTTTGGAAACCTGCAGATCAATGTTGCTCAACCTGCTATCTGAAATGTGAATTAATCCATGCGTGTATGATCTGTAGCGTGATTTTACAGATGGTAGTCACCTCACCAAGTTAAACGGTAAGAAACGCTCTGTCCTCCTTATCGACTGTGGTGTTCTGCAAGCAGCGATCCTGTTACGTTTTCTATTTTCCTTATATTTTGAACTTCTCTCTATACAAACTAGGTTTATAGAAGGTAAATATGCCGACGATATTGTGCTGAAATGCATGGCCTCAACTATTCAGGAGTCGCCACCACTTCAACGTGGGTTGGAAGATCAGGTGGAGTGAGCTTCATCCGGAACTTTTACACTTAACACTTAGAAATGCAGTGATGTAATATTATCGTTTCTTCGTGGCGATAAGTAGCAGTCCCCCATAGATATCTCCTCTACCCTAACTGTGAACGAAAATCGCACATCCAGATCACCGACGGTCAAGTATCTCGGCGTGCTTTTATCCTAGAATATCTTTTGGTCCATACATGTCTGTGAACGCTTCCAAAAGTCAGAAAACTTACTTTTCATGCTCTAAGACTTAATATGCTTTCAGTACCACGTACTTTATTATTCAAGTTTGTGACCACTTGCATTATTCCCCATTTGGTTTTACTGCCCTCCTGTCATCTTTCCTGGACTGCTTCAGAAAGACGACTACATCTTATTGGTACAATCGATAAGCCACATTTCTAGCTGCAGCGGCTTGTTTAGAAATCCATGAGTTGATTTCACCATTTTTAGACATTTTGATGCCTGCAATAACGCTTCGTCTAAGGCACTAACTGATCGATTTCCTCCACATTACAGTGATATTTCAAAAACGCTATTTTTCTATTCTACGCGTTCGAAAATAAAAAGTTTATCTCATCACTTGTCATCGTATCGTAATACTGTCTTGCCTTATCGACCCGTTGAAAGTCGTAAACATGCTGCGCGAGCGGTTGTTGAAGTAACAGTTGTGCATATTTTCCATCTTTCTCCATAAATAGGTAGATCATATTGGTTTTACCATCTAGTTTGTATGCAGTGGTAATGTAACTTCTACCCATTAGAGTTCATAAAGCTTATTTTGACATGATTTGTGGTCGTCTGATGCACATACCGAAGTCAAATTGTAGACAGGCGACACTACAAATACCACGAGACGACTCGTTGGCGATAGATGCTGAACTAATTGGTTGAAGGTTAACCACTGCCCCGCTATCTTGTATGTGGACTTTGGAGGCAAAAAGATGCATCGTATCTGAGGGGCAGGGTCAATGTTACCTATTGACAGATCAAGCCCGAAGCACTAACATTGAAGAGACTAAGACGAAATGAGACCTATGGTTTGAATGATGATATAGGTACGTCCGTAGAACTAGTTCCGAATAGGATGACGTTCATACACAAATGAATATCAACATTCACAGATGGCCTTCACAAGTCAAACTAAAAGCTCGTCATGGAACCCACAATTACGCTGCAGATGGCATTACGATAGAAAAAAGTACAACGATGGGAAACCGCAAACGTATCGGTTTTGAAACGGATGGTACATGTTCGGAACTCTCTCATGCTGCAATTTTCGGACAGTCCCGCGGCTCTTAGGAAGCAAGCTATCGTATACTAGTAGGAATTCGGAAGACGGATGTCAAACGCGATAAGAATGGCCACCCACAAGCAAACGCGATGGGAGCGAGCAGACACTAATAAACTAGTCAACGGTGATATTGCTAGCCAATGAGAGATCGCGCAACTCCCTAATCTTCTCGTGACTAGAGAATGTCAGTAAGGACCAGGTTAGTTCAGCATCTGAACCTATGCTTCCGATATCTCCGCCATACTTCATTTTGGCGTGACCGTTTCATCATGCAGGTTGATCAAACACAGTGCGCCAGTGTTGAGCAGAGTCTTCCGTATGCCTTGTCGGATTGTGACGATTATCTTCAACGGTGAACAATACACTGTAGCGTTCAACACAAACCGTCACACCTAGTTGGCATGTCTGTGAGATGCACTTACTGAAAAGATGTCACTGAAGGAAGGCAACGGAAGTTCTTTTGCTACTGCCGTTATCTATCGCCAATAAGGTGAACCAGGTGTTTGTTCGATACAGGTGCCGCAGTGTGGCTGAACAACCATCAGCAGGGCGAAAAGCTTCAAGCCCGCTCCATGGTCGTGAGAGCTGTTGGCGGTTACGGAGTGGGCACTGATGGTATGGCCAACACATCGTGGTAGTCGGGGGACGGATACTAACGCGTGTCATCAGAAGCGAGACAAACCATATTGGGAGCAGATTTCCTGGAGTTCAACAAGGCTGTCGTCAATTTAAAAAGTGGGAAGTTATTGACAACTACTGGTCGTTGCCACTCATTGGCCGGAGAAGAACGATACCTTCGCAAGTGGTTGTTGCCGCGTTACATTTGGGCCGGACCTTGTAGTCATTGATCGCAAAGTATCACCACTTATTTACGGATGACGGCAGCCTGCATGGACTTCGTGACTGGATCGTACACACCATCCCACTAACAGGTCAGACGTATCGGCCCAAGGTACCACAAAGGATACCAATCGATCTGGAGGATGAAATGAAGAGCTGAGTACAGATGCTGGACGCGGATGTGATTTAAGAAGCGCACAGCCCATACACTTCTCCAGTTGTCTTGGTAAAGAAGGCTAATGGGAAGTACCATTTCAGTGTGGACTTCCGAAGGCTGAATGAAATCTCCTTGAGTCGTTCCGTTCCAGTGCCATAAGTTACCGACATTTGTGATAGGTTGCAACAGTCGAGGATATTCGCGGTTCTCTACCTGAGGTCTGGATAGTGGCAACCGGGGATCAAACGAGGAGACTGAGGAAAAAGACGTTTACTATCGGTGAAAATGTATATCAACAATGTATATTAACAAATGTCTTCCGAATTATCAGGAGCCCCGTTTACCTTCCGACGTGTAATGTTTCGCTTACAGTGGCTTGGAGAACATGGCAAAGTACGGAGATGATATCGTGGAGTATAGCTAATCAGAGAAGAACCACGGCGGTCATCTGGAAGCAGTTTTGGGATGGATTCAGCAGTCGGGACTCCGCATAAATGGACCGAAGTCCCAGATTGGAAAAACTTGTGTCACCTCATTGGGCCATAAAGTAGGACAAGGTGAGCTGAAGCCACTGCCTGAGAAGATATTGACAATAAAATGCACTCCAGTTCCTACCTCAAAGCGCAACCTCAGAGCGATCCTGGGCAGTACTGGGTATTACAGCAAATTAGTCAAGGAATTCAACAATTTGGCCTCACTCTAGTATGAGCTACTGAAACAGGATAAGAAATTCACTGGGACTGCAGAAGCCTTTGAACGCATTCTACAGAAAACGGGAAAGCAGCTGACCCTGAAATTGCCCATTGCTGGAGAGATGTTCACGGTGGCCACTGAGGCCACTAATGTCTTTGATACAAAGCCATGGGACGATTGAGTACGTCAGCAAAATTTTGACACCGGCAGAAGGCAAAAACTCAATCACAACGAAGGAATGTCACGCAGTCGTCTGGGCGTTGGACACATGGAGGCCGCATCTGCTAGGTCAGTGATTTCAAGTCGAAACGGAACATAAGCCTTTGGAACGGATTGTGACTGCCAAAGAGCCCCCAGGGGAAAGCTAGTGTGATGGGTGCTGCGCATACAGGAATAAGATTTCACGATAAACCACGTGCCGGGGAAGAAGAACCAAACTGCCGATTTTTGTCACGCATGATGAATATAACAACGTACCGAGTGTGGTATTCGGTATTAGTGGTATACTGCTGTAGAATGATCCGTGACAGTAGGCGGCCGAACAACGTAATGAAAAACTCTTGCGCAAAGTGATCACCGCGCGAATACCCGGTCAATCAGTCCTAAACAAGAGCTACCACAAGCAGCTCGGACCGTTTGCGAAATATCTTGAAAAGCTACAAGTATATGAGGTGGGGATCCTGATGTGGATACCAGGAGGTAGCAACACTTCGGTGCCGGTTATGTAGACGAAAATAAGGTGGAGGCTGGTGATTTGTTGTCACGAGATGGAGCGCACCGGTTGTGCCAAGACCTACCATCTGCTGAGACAACGCGCATTTTGGTCAACAATGAAGAGGGTCGAGACATACGTGCTTTCTTGCAACCAAAGTCATCACTTGAAAACCGACTGCCAAGGAGCACAACAAACCGAGCAGTTGATTCCAGTATTGGCGAACTACGGTCTATTGACGTGATAGGACCGTTTCCATTGACCAGCCGGGGCAACCAATACATCTTGTTGACGAGGGAGCACTTCACGCGCTAGGTTGAAGCGACGGGGATCCCGGATCAACGGACGACCAACATTACCCATGCCGTCATGAAAAACTTGATAGCGGATCGGGGAATCTCAAAGGCCATATTAAGAGATCAGAGTCCATGCTTCGAGAGTGAGGAATTCCGGAAGTGCTTGGAGAAACATCATAACAGGAAAGTGCGGACAACCACACACCACACACGGATAAATGGCTTGACGGAGAGTAACAACAGAACGATTAAAGAGTGGCTAGCGGCAAACGGAGAAGACTGGAAGGAAGCTTTTTCACTGCTGTTGCTGACCCATCGAGCATCCAAACAGGCCTCCATAAACAAATCGCTTTTCCAACCGGCGTGGAGCACTCGCCTACCTGTGGATCTAGAGGTTGGAATGTGGCCAACTTGCCGAATATCTCCGAAAGCACAGGATAACAGGAAAGCAGCCGACCATAACCTGAAGGCAACTCAAGCACAGAGGAAAGTGATGTCCCAGACCAACAATGGTGAGATAATTATCGAGTTTCCGATCGGCTCGAAGGTAATATACAGGGAGCATCAACGCGCTCCCCCTAGTGCCTCAGGAGAGAGAAAACTGCTACCGAAGTGGAAAGAGCCGTACGAGGTGGTCCATCCGCCCAGTGTATACAGTTGCTCGGCAAGGAGATTTGTGGCGAGTACATATCAGTGAGCTGGGGAAGTGGCACGAGTTAGAAGAGGAACCACTTTCGCACAGTGAGCATCCCCGACGGTCAGAAAGACTCCGAGCGACGGTAGTTAGGGCGAGCACCTAAAAGGGGAGGAGTGTGGTGGACTAAATGAAGATATTACTGCGCCAGTTATCAATAGCATGGAAGTGCCAGGATGCCAAAAGGTAACAAGCCAACAGCAGGTCGTAATGACTCTCTAAAGGAAAAAACTCCTCGGAACCGCAGTTGTATGCGCACGAGGAATGGGCGCACTACTAGACGACTACTAGAGAAAGAAACCCGCGCCGTGCAACTTCCAACAAGAAGTGAGAAGATGAATGGTTGTTTCGTTGGTCAGAACCGATGAACCTAGTATAAACTATGTTTGAAACAATAAACAAATCGGATTACACCACAGGTTCTTACATCCTAATTACCAAGGAGTGTTAGATAGTGACCTAGATGGTAGTAAGTATCTTCCTGATGTACATTAATTCTTCCCATTAACTGCTGCTATCTTATTAATGTGTGAAAATAAGCGAATGGGCCAAATCGAAGGTAGCAACGCTTTACATAGCACGATACGTGTGGAACATACCCGTAGACGAGTGTAGAAAGACATAGGACAAACGCGTGCACCACAGTGCTGGAGAGACTAAGATTCGTTGATGCAGATGAATTCGAGGATTTCCAGACGAATATCAAGCCGACGCATAGCGAGAATCCCAGAGGAATGGCTCCCAAGACACCGAAAAAGCACCACAGTAAGGCGACACCTGTAAGAAAAATGAAGTAGAAAGATATGGTACAAAATGAGTGAAAACATGCAAAAAACTAGAGAGATGAATGTATACGGCAGAGGAGAGTGAAATTTGAATTATTATCCGGATTCGAAAGTAATAGAATGGTCCGTATAATTCAGAAGTGCAACGAGTATTGTTGCACCAATCGTGCCAAAGAGCACAAGCGAGAAAAAGCAAAAAGTGGATAACAACTCAGTGAAGCATCGCAGCTCCAGAGACCACAGCGATGATGTGGACACCCTGGGTGACGCTACAGGCTATATACTGAATACTGTATTATAGAGCAAGTAGAAATGAATTCTGTACAACTCATCCGAAATATGGTGAAAAACGCTATAAAAGTTATCAGCCGTGAATATCGTTGTCGTTCTCATGTAACAGTTAAAATATTTGACATACGATATTTCAGGATTCACAAATGTGATATATCATCGTAAGTGTGCAGTCGTTCTCTAAATCGAATAGTGGCAAAATACAAAGCAAACAACGTTTTGAACTGTTGCACAGATGTTGCCACAATCACAGGTTCAGGCAAACTGTTCCAAATATTTACCACTCTCCGTTCGAAGCACAGTGGGTGGGGAACACGTTTCACATCCGGCACGACAAGTTGGTATCTGTGTCCGCGTGTGCTGCATGGCCCTCGTAAGTGCAGCATTGGCCTTAGCATTGGGATGTCACCGAGATGTAGAATACGGTAGGTCATAATGAGGTCCACTCGCACCCGACGGTAGGACAAGGTGTAGAGTCCTAGTTTCTCGCACCGGTCTTCATACCCCAGGCCACGTAAACTCGGGATGAGCCTGATAGCAACGTGTTGGACCCGTTCGATCTTTTGTGCCTCGCCTCGGGTAATCGGAAAGTAGGCGGGCGAACCGTATTTTAGCATTGGTCTAATGATGGAAGAGAAGAGGCGAGTGGCAACCTCTTCAGACCATGTGCCGAAGCTACGTTTGAGCATCCAAAGCATGCGCAGTCCGTTACGATATAGCCTGTTCGTGTTGTCCATGGACTTCAAATCGAAGCGTGAGAGTACATCTAGGTCTTTCACGGAGGGTGTGGGATATCGCGTTTGGCCGTCAAGGGTGTAGGTTCGGCCGTCAACGCCCTTCCCCAGGCTCATAAATACAGACTTGGCTGGGTTGACCGGGAGAAGAACTGCTGCAGACCATGTGGATATGCGGTTGAGGTCTTGCTGAAGTAGGCCACAGTCATCAGGAGCGTCCATTTCTCTCCAAATCTTCATGTCGTCCGCAAACAAGGCACACGGTGACCGGAGAAGCTGCGGTAGATCGTTGATGTGGATCAGGAACAGAGTGGGCCCCAGCACAGTGCCTTGAGGCACGCCACTTGTGGAGGGGTACCAGTCAGTTAGATGGTCGTCGACCTGTACCCTCCACTTTCGTCCAACAAGAAAGTCGCGGATCCACCGGTGCAGTGAGCCACCGACACCACACATTCTGAGTTTGTGAAGGAGAACCTCATGACTGACCTTGTCGAACGCTTTACTGAAATCGATGAATATCACGTCGACGGACTTCCCCTTGCTTATTGCCTTCAACCACTCATGCCTCGTCACAAGCAGGTTCGTAATGCATGAGCGACCTTGCATAAAACCGTGCTGTGCGGCCGTCAGGACCTCGTTTGACTGTAGCAACTGCAGCAGTCCCTTTTTCATGATTTTCTCAGCAACCTTTGCCAAAATAGGTGTTAGACAAATTGGCCTGTAATTGTCTACTTTGCTAGGGTTGCCGCCTTTCGGAATAGGCTTCACCACCGAACATTTCCAGTCAACCGGCAACGAACCTTCGGACAGTGACCTGTTGAAAAGGTCAGTCACGACAGGAGAGAGGATGGTTGAAAGTGACTTGAGAACCAGTGGGTGAAACCCATCAGGTCCGGCAGGTTTGGTGCCGTCAAAGTTGGCGAGTAGTTGATCTATCTCTTCAACGCCGCAATGCAGACTATTGAGCTCGGTAAAACCGGTACACGTCGAACTCGGAACAGACACTTGGTTATTCGCAAATACAGAAGCGAAGTGCGCCGCCAACGCGGACGCACGCTCAGTGCTGGAGGTTAGGGGCTGTCCATCCGCGCCATCCAGCACTGGCACATCACCTGCCGGTTTCAGGCATCGCTTCACGTAAGCAAAGATTATCTTGGGGGCGGTCTTCGCGGCTAACTGAATACTGAATACTGTATCATAGAGCAAGTAGAAATGGATTCTGTACAACTCTTTCGAAATATGGCGAAAAACGTTATAAAATTGTCAACCGTGAATATCATTGTCGTTCTCGTGTAATATTTAAAACGCGAGGTGTTCTTCGAAATGTCGGCGTTTATTCTTTTTTGCACTGTTGCAGATGCTCCGCTGACATTTATACCCTTCGTAATCATTGGCAGAGCCAGAGAGGAAGCATTTGTCCCACAGTCTGCGCAGCCTCCGAGCCAGGTTTCCATACCCCTTGTCAAACCAATGAGGCTTAATCGGTCCAACCTTCCGACATTTCAATGGCACAAATTGGGAACACAATGATGTCAATCTCTCTTTTATAAATATCCAACAATCTTCCACAGATGCAGCTTGTGGCAGAAACCAATCCAGTTGGCTCGCGGCTCGAGCTAGACCATCGAAGTCCGTTCTCCAGTAGTTGTGAGCTGGTTCCAGCGGACGTGAATACGGCAAAGATAATTCCATATCAGCTATGAGCACTGAATGGTCGAGTGTAGCCAGGGGCTCCAGGATCCTAACGTCACGCACTCGTTCTTCGTAGCTCGTCAACAACAGGTCGAGACAAGACGGGGTTGAGCGTGTTGTTATGCGTGTTGGCTGGCATATGTGTTGCGATGCACCCGTCTCAAGTACAAAATCCATGAACTTTGCTTCAACCTCACTATGTCCAGGCATCAAATGCACATCAGGCCATCATATTTGAAGACAGTTAAATTTGCCCCTAAGTAGAAAGTGTGGTCGACTAATGCGGGTTCGAAGAATGGGCAGCCAATACAAACAGCAACTCAGGGGGCTGCGATAAACTGCGCCCACAAGTAGTTCTTCGCGCCTGAGGCGGATGGAGCACCACAGTAGCTCACACAAACCGTCGTTACTTCGGTAGGTGCTCACAAGTCTCCCACGCAGGGAAGACCGGATGAAAATTCCGACACCATCGTGGGCATTCTTTGGTCTATCGCATCGGAAGCACGAGTAACCGCTGAGTTCAAGTTCTTGGGTGTATAACTCTGCATGCAGCCATGTCTCTGCGAGTCCCACTACGTCTGGCTGCTCAGAAGCAATGAAACAACCAAGCTCATCGCGCTTATTTATAACACTGCAAACGTTTGTGAAGGCTACTCACAGGCTGCAGCAGGATCCGCCGGGCGTACTTGAAGTGTGAGCAGCCTGTTTATCCTTATTCGCATTGTTGAAAACCAACCGAAAATTTACGGTACGTAGCTATGTTTCCCTATCACCAGTGCCTTTTCAGCTCAATGATGGCAGACTTGAGTCGCTCCCTGTCTACTGGGTCCAGGTCTGGACGAATATGGATCTACAAACCTTTCAGCCTACTTAGGCGGGACATGATAAGTCTTGGACTGGCTTGGTCCACAAAAGTGATTCTCATAGGCCGATTGCGTTGATCAGCTTGCTTTCCAAGACGGGTACTTTGCCTCACTTTTAACGAGTCCTCACCAGCGTCGAGAAGTCTGTCAATTAGACTCTGTAAAAACTCGACATCGTGATCGTAGCGCACTTGGAGTGATGGATCACTGGACTCCGGCGCGTGAAAGATCACGAGATTATAACGTCTCTGGTCGGACGAGGTTGACCTTGCAGGGCGAAGTATATTACCAGCCTCACGTGGTTTGGCTAACAGCTGACTTACAGAAGTTAAACGCCCAACATCCTATCGTAATTTTGTTCTTTGAAAAAAGTGCTGAAGTAAATGTAGTCTTCAGCATACAGAGGCAAGCTGCAACCCCCAAAGATAGGATACCAGACCAAAATAAATAGTGGATTTGTTCTTCGTTAAGCTGGTTAATTGCTATGGGCGACCTGACCATAGTGACAGCATCATACACTCCCTTAGTGAAAGAAGTGTCATCATGTGCATGACGAATCAGATTCAGTGAAAGAGACCTGAAGAAGCCGTACGTCAAGATAGAAATGTTGCAACGTAGAAAAATATGCAGTTGTATTCAAAAGCTTCTAAAAGCATGAATTCGCAATCGGCTCCAAGCATATTTTGAATTGAATAAAGAGGTGTTGTATACAATTATCCCGATCCTGCCTTTCCGGAGGATCTTACCCCACTCACGGACTTCAGACAATTCGAAGAGATTATTTGATCCCTTCCTATGTTGGCAAATTCACCGAACACAACCACAAATACAGCACAACCGCACAAATTCACTCAACATGATTACTAACCCATACACTTACATTTACACATAAAACATAACTCCAGTATGTACTGGTTACACAGTAACACTTGTAAAAATGACTAAGTATACGCTCCGTATAACTGCGACCATGCCATTTTAAGCGTGTCCCGCACGGATGGGAATAAAATATGTATTTGTTTATTTAGTTAAAGTCCCTGGACAATCAATATGGTCCAACCACAAAGTGAGCAAAGTTTCTTGGTGAACGTTAGATATACACATTCAAGTCCGTAGTCTATGGTCAACGGGCGGCCTGACAATCGCTTAGCATGCGTCTACATTAGTGCAATGCCATGGACACGGCGATATCAGATTTAGTGAGCGGAACAAAGATTACGGTGAAGGCAGACAAATGAGGGAGTGAATGTGTAAACCACCGGACAACGGTAGGAATTCAGGGGGAACTGAACAGTTGCCAAGGCAAGCACATAATAGTAGGATAAATAGTGGACCACTGGACGAAGTTAAGGGTATATGGAGTAAACGGGCGGCGACGGGGTGACATCCGGTGAACAAACACCCGGTTATGTGAGGGCATCTACGATCTCATTTCTTAGCGGAAAACATAATAATTTTTCCCTTTTGCTTAGTAGCTAGCTGGCAGCTTACCGGAACGATGCATCTCCGCTGCTGGTAGCTCAGCTGGCATGCAACTTTTGTATTTATTTTCCTTTTTCATGTATGTATTGCGGCACAGTAGCTGAGGTGTTTTCCCACCTCTAGCTGACGTGTATAATGAGGATGACTCCCCATAGAAGGCCACATGTATCTGTTTAACAACATTCCGACGTGGCGGATATGACTCGCCACTAAATAAACTCACTACTTCCTGCCTTTCCGGGGGATCTTACCCCACTCACGGACTTCAGACAATTCGAAGAGATTATTTGATCCCTTCCTATGTTGGCAAATCCACCGAACACAACTACAAATTCAGCACTACTGCAACAAATTCACATAATACGTTTAATAACTCATACACTTACATATACACATAAAACATAACTCCAGTATGTACTGGTTACATAGTAACACTTGGGACAATTACTGATTATACGCTCTGTATTACCGTGATCAGGCTTTTTTAAGCGTGTCCCCCACTGTCGGGGATAAAAGAATTATTTATTTGTGTATTGATCATGCGCTGTTGCACGTCTGACGTTCAGGCTTGGGTATAACCGATGCGAAGGTCAGTAAAATGGTACCCGTCTTATGCTGCCATCCGATCAATGGTTTCAGAGGGTAAATTGTTTCTGGGAGTAACGAAGTGCGATGTTTTCGCTGGCTTTATGTTCCAAGAAAGGTTCAACGATCGAATGGTCCACGTTCCAACTCGCCTTACAATTCCAAATCATTCAAGAATTAACTGACAGATACCCAACAACATATGCATATCCCCTTGTGGAGCATGTCATCATGACTTTGGGTTAACAATGCGCGTAGTTGCTTCCCGTATCGTCAGGGAGTGGGACTGATCCGAAAGGATAGTGGCTCCCACCAACATGTTCCCCGAAGCAGATCTTTCGGTATCCATTGGGTATTGGAAGTGCTATGATCAGGAAACCAATTGCAGCTAATTTGTAGGTCATGTGGCTCTCCATAACCAGACAGTTGCTGAATCCAATATCGAATTCGGAGTTTTTGGGAGAAATCTGGTGCTGTTTATCCGTTTGTTTTTGTGCATCTAATCCATGACATGCGACTGAGCTTTTCGAAGCCCGTTCGTAGCACCACTCTCAAGTATTTTCAATGTGGGCGTCATCCTGCTTTTCATTTCTCACTCGAGAAGTTCTGGAGGAGACAACGGTAGAAGACACGAAATCCGCTGAAGATCAAGAAGTATCAGCATTCTGTGTCAAAGAGTGCACAGCGATGGATTTATGCCAAGACATCACGCCAACTGAAGGGTATTACTGAAGTACGGGCGGAGCACAGATATACCGCTGTGATTCGCTGTATCAGCCATGAACTAAAAGGACGACACGCTGTCTCAATTTAGGCCACCAGTTAATTTGAAGCGAAAGTCGCTTATTCCGATCACCGGGACCGCATCCGAAGTGGGGAGTTTAGTTTTGTTCGCTTCCAACGTTGCATTCAATGACTGGTTTCCTTCTTGCTCGGATTCTTCAGGTAGAAATGCCCGAATCTAATAATGGAACCCTGGACGTAGAGGTTGACTAGCCGACCAAGGCTACCAAGCCATATAGCTCCGCGAGTTCGTTGTGAACAATAGCAGTCTATAGGCAAGGATGTCCATAGTGGGACAAAGCGACTGCGGTCACCCTGAGATGTAAGAGTATTTGCTTTACACTAACAAGACATTCGAGACAAAACAGTATTGGTAGCGCGTAAAAAAGGGGCCGCGACGGCCGATCGTACCGATTGATGCTAAAATTAATTAAAAAGACTGTGAATGAAAACTAGGCAGCACAGAACTGAATAGAGGCCAGTGCTGAGGCTGACCTGGAGAAGACGTTACGGTATGCTTTGAATATACCGTAGCTCACACCTACATGTCTCTGTGCATACTCTACATAACAGCATGGATACACGTCTCTGATCTAATCATATTCTGAGCAATGACCTCAGTGGAAATATCCCACATGTTGTGGAAAGCGTTCACGCCACTGATAGCCCAGCTGACCTAATTTGTGCTGACATAGATGCAACAACTATCATCGCAAACGGGACAATGTTAAAGCGCTTCCCTACCTGACCAGTGTAAATCATGAGCATGGTAGTTAGCCGCCTGTAGAAAACATGAACCGTAGATCACGATACGATAGGAAGGAACGACGAGGAGAACGCGAGAATGCAGTCATCTAACCGAAGCGACGAGGCACAACATACGCAAAAGCCAAGCTGGGTATGATGTGTAAGAACAAGGAATAAAAGGAGAGGAAGGAAACAATTTTGTTTAGAGCGCGGTAGGAGAATTAAATCGTGAAAACAAGAAAGTGAAATAATTTCTAAGCTTTTAAACTGAGATCCACTCGAGGGCTGAGAGGTGGTAAGCAAAATAACACCTACCTGAAGCTATTGAAACGACCTGATCCAGTAACGGGAGCCCATGTCGTTGTCCGCCTGAAATTGAAGCGTCGATCGATACAAATGAGTAAACATGCAAAAAATCGGAAGCACTCGTAGTGTCCAGTGACAGGTGAGCCCCAAAGTGCTCGTGCAGCGGTTAAGTGAACTAGCATCATAGAAGTAAAATGAGTATACACATGCGGTGGTAGTGTGAAGGGCGGAACAGTGAAACAAATAGTTTAAATCTCAAAGGATAATGCGCACAGGATGAGCCAGAGAAAAAGATGAAATCGGAAAATATCCATGGAGTAATGCTTCAAAGTTGGGTAGTTCTAAACGAAAATGAGGAATTATTTCACTTAAAGGTGGTCAAAAGGAGTAAACACAAGTTATCCGCGCAAGTCTAAAAACTAACCTTGGCTTTTGAAGTAGGTTTGAGACAAGAGGCGTAAAATGCGGCAACTCAAGCACAAACACAAAGTTAATAGTAGCTTGCCCAGGACCTGTGCAAGTACAGAACCACAGCAGATTGAGAATTCCTCAAGTAACAACGGTAAGTACGGAGGATCTCCGTGCTCAGATAGGAAATAAGCAGATTCAGGAGAGTCTTCGGATAAGCCATAAGGAAACACTGAATCTTTCTCAAAGCTTGCAACGGACTGCGAGTACTCCTGCCAATAATAAAGCATACAAAATGGACGTTGTTGAAGAATAGAAGGCACAGGTGCAAAGATAATCCCAACGATCGTGTGAAATGAACAAAAGGTTATGTGACGAGGCGGTCTGCTGACTAATTTACAACGAGCGCACACTAATGAGTAGTGGGGATTTGGGTGTAGTTTTAGAGCTGATTGGTCGCAGTCCTCTCTCAGTCAGACAGGCTTCCACAGTCTGGAATAACACCAGACGGCCGTTTCAACCTGCTTGGTCCCGTTAGTGTGTCGTACACAGTCACTATAATAATAATAATGATAATGATGTGCCAGCTGTACGCCGTAACGGCGCTTCGCTGCCGCACGACCACAACCAGTCGCGCGCGGGCTGAGTATACCGTGAGGACGCCCATCCCTACGCGGACAGTCCCTATGCGGAAAGTCATAGCGCTGGGGCCATCCGCTGTCCTTTACACAGTTCGTAACTGGCATAGAAGTGGAGGATGAGCCGCGCTGTATCGTAGCCACTTGTCAGTCATGTAGGTCCGCCGCCGCCACCCATGGTTTAGTAGCACAAGCTGCTGGCGTCCGGAAGCCACGGGGCCGGAACCCAGTAGGAGTCCAAGGAGTACGCATCGAAACGACCGTCTGGTACTTTTCCAGACGTGTAGGAGCCTGTCTGTCTGAAAGGAGACTGCGACGATCTATCTCTAAAATTGCACCTGAATCCCCACTACTCATTAGTGTACCTAAGGATTGACCTATCAGCAGTGTTGGTCCACACCAATCCATTCATACCACTTTTAAATCTGAGGTTTTATTTCTACTTAGAAGTCACTTCGTCAATACATTTTACTCACCGGCGGGCAGACCCAAAAGGCCGTAATCGGGTGAACGCGATGCGCGATAATCCTGTGCCAATATCTCATTCGCTTGCATTTTACTATCTGGAAATCAAGCGTTGAACTGGTTAGAAAACTGGTGGCACTGAGACCACTCGAGTGTCAATTCGCTAACCAAAATGTCCGAGTGGATCGGAGGTGCTTTTCGTCGATGAGGCCAACATGTGGCAAGCGTTTGATAGCAACGAAGATTACACGATTTCCTCCGACGTGACCTGGATTGTGTTCACGAATGCCCAAGGAGGAAACTACCATTTTAACACAGCGAAATGCAACCTGGTTTAAATACGCCATCAGCTGGCAAAGGCGCATAAATAGGAGAGAATCATCGGGCAACTGGCTAAGAAAGACCCCAGGTGCTCCCAAAATCCTACTCAACAGTAAGTTAAAAAGCGTCGAAAAGTGGAAACCAATGTACCGGTAGGGTCCGTAATCTTTCAACAACTGCCTAAGGTCTACTTGGGACCCTAAATGGAGTACGCTATACAGCTGTGGCATCCTTCGCAGAAGTACTATCTCGCTGCTCTTGAAACTCCGCAACGGAGAACATCTAAGAGTGCTAGACGTTTTTCCAAATGTTCTCACAACCTGGACTAAAATTCTTCAGGATGTATGGCGACCGATATTAGTATCATCGGCGGAATCAGGAAGAATTCCAACCACTTTTGCTACCCGCTTCTAGAACTCAGTAATAACACCAACTTGAGAGGCCATTTCTAAAGTTAGGAATGCAGTATAGCCAAGTAGGATGCCCTTCTCTTGTACATTATTTCTGAGCCCAATTTAACGATATTCAAAATACCTTGACAACTATTTGTATCGTTTACATTTTCCTACATGACTTATGTTCGTCAGGAGCTTACGTACCGCAAGCAAACCTGGATAACTGACCAGGAACGCATCTTTGTAACAGGTGTGACACTTGCTTAAAAGCGGACTTGTGTGGCTACCGGACGAGGTAGTTCCTCTTTGCCCTAAGAAACTTTTCAGTAAACCCCCATTGGTGAAGCATAATCGTTAGAGCGATAAACAGCCGTAATGGCAAGTAGAAAAGGCTCAAGGAAGCCCAAAGCTTCCAATACCGGTAACAGTACAAAAGATACAGGACTAGGGCTATTAAATTGCAACGGCAGGTGAAATACTCACATGAACTTGGATTGCCTCAATTTGCGAAAACAAATCCCGTCACTACAATCTAAGTAAAAACTTTCATAAAAGAAGCAGCTGGTTGCCTAACCATGGAATATTGCAGCCAGGCTTTAGAGAACGGTGATAAAGGGAAAGTATTTATACGTGTCTTCCAGAATAAACATAATAATGCACGATGTAGTTCTAATTACACCAGAGGTCTCTGCTGTAAGTGGTGTTATTATGAAAACCTCGCCGTGAGTTCACTAGCATCATCATCATCATCATACACGGTAGCTAGAGGCGCGGAACACCTCAGCTACTGTGCCGCAATACACAGAAAAAAGGAGAAAAAAAGCAACTGGTGTAAGCCGGCTGAGCTACCGGTAACGGATGGACATCGTTCCGGTAAGCTACCAACCGGCTGCTGTGCATCAAAAAATACTATGCGAAATTATATAAGGCTAAATAATGAGATTGTGGTTGGAGGGGGAGGCTAAGAGGGGTTGGGTGGGACAAAGAAACTCACAGCACAAACACCATTGAGGTCGGCTCCAAGCCATATCAGTAAGTGTGTCCAATCAAACGTGTTCATCGTCTTTCGGACCCCAACCAGGGAGCCGAGACGCTCCAGAGTTCACTAGCACGCACTCAAATATACTGATACGCAGTTTCTGCTAATTTCATTTTGACCATCCTAAGGGAATTGTCAGGCATCAGTATTTTTACCCGTTATATACCATCAATCGGAAGCGGTCTTCTTACACGTGTGTTACTTATTCGGTTGGAAATTTTGGGTGCAACTGCGAAACCCTCGTCCTCACAGCACCTCCGTGAGATGAAAAAACACGGCCACAATAACATTTGGTCGGATTTGAGCGGAATGTTCGGTGCTCTATAATTCAGAGCACTGATGTGTCGTTTGATGAAGTCGTAGCGGTCCTATCAGAAATTTTCGGTGAACAGACATCGCTGTTCAACATTCGTTACAAGTGTCTGACAATGACTAAAAGAGTAAACGAGGAGTGGGTCAGCTACTCAAGCCACGTGAATCGCGAGTGCGAACGATCACAGTTATACAAGATGACGCGCGACCAGTGCAAGTGCCTCATTTACGTTTGCGGCCTACAAGCAGCCAAACGTGCAGACAATCGGGCAAGAATACTGAGCAAGATTGAATAGGATCCTGATCACACATTGCAGGAAGTGACCGGTGAGTGCTAAGAAATGACGAACCAAGCAGGCTACATCAATGGTAGAGCAGTTGCCCAATACGAACAAGCATCAACTCATTTGTGCAGTCAACCGGATTCCCAGAAAGCACCAACTTAGGTGAGTCCATCACATTCCAAACCTCTTTCTGCTTGTTGATTTTGCAGAGAACGGCATTTTGCTCGAAACTGCCCAGTTAAGAATTACGTTTGCAATCGATGCGCCAGAAGAAGTCATAAGGAATCGTGTTGCTTGGCAAGTGGTCCTACTTTGTCGGGGAAGAAGGACAACAATTTCATACCATTCAGAAGGCCCAATGAGATCAGACCGAGCACCGCGACAACAGGCGTAAAAGTACACCATGGTGGAAATCAATGGCAGAAAAGTCAACTTACAAATTGATACTGCTTCAGTTATCACTCTGATCACTCGCGATACGTGGCGCAGGCTGGAGCGGCTGATACTTGTACAAACGGGCCATACGGCACGGAATGCTTCAGATGGTACATTAAAATTGCTTGGTGAATTGAACTGTCGAGTCACTTTCCGGGGCCAACAAAACCACACAACGTGCTTTGTGGCAGGCCGACCGGGGTTAGATTTGCTGGGACTCGATGGGATGAAAGAGTTGAAATTGCTCGATTAACTAGTAAACAGCGTATACCAGCCACCGCAAGTCAACCAGCTGTCGCAACCATCGATACCAAGCCCGATGGTACAAAGTCTGATTAAGAAGACCCCACGAATCAATGCTTCAACCTGGTCGCAGATGCTGCAGAATGACCAGTGCTGTCTTGAACCTCAAACAAAACGCTCAACCACTATTCAGATCAAGGCGCCCTATACTGAACGCAAAGAAAGAAAAGCACTGCAGTTGCCATGTGGAGGAGAATCGGACAGACAGGGTCCGTCATTGCAAAATTTGTGACATAGTGTAGGCGCGAGACTTCCGAGGACCGAGGAGGTGGTCGACAGGAACGGCGATCAGCAGAAATGGTCGAGCCATTTACAAGCTAATAACAGGAAATGAGAAATGGGTGAGATACGCCAGTTAGCTGAGGCCGAATTACAGCAAGATTCAAAGTCCCACAGAATCGCCATCCCTAATGTGGGACATCCTGCTAGACACATTTGGCTTGGACGACGAAGCTGAGCGGCTGCGTAAATCACAACAGGAGCTGCAGGTAACAAATAACGCACATTGCAGGCCCACTCGAAATCGGAGATGACCACAGTGACTAAAATTTGACCCCAAGGCGAAAAGCTATGAACGAAGTTGAGTTCGAACGGTACGCAAGCAGACTCAATTCGAAAAGGGGGTATTAGGCGGTCGCAACGTAAGAACTGATACGGTTTCGAGACGTGAAGTGAGCCTGTAGCAAAATATGCGGAAAGCTGACGAAATAAGTTCTTCATCATGGCACAGGTTGCTACGCAGCCGGCGTGAGCCCGACTACGGCTGGCCAGTGAAGACCACTAGCAGGTTTGAATCTGTCTAGTCAAGTGACGTGAGTCAGCCCAGAAACATAGAGCAGGAGGTGGTGACATGTGACCAATAAAATTAACCGTGTTCTTTTCCTAATACACTTCGGTCTGGCAGTTCTCGCAATGAGACTGAACCTTATCGTGGTGCGAAGGTTTAAGTGCCTCATAGATGCCTTGAGCTGTGCCCGGTGATGCTTTTCACCTTCAGAGCCACTCATACCAGATTCGTCAATGGTTAGAGTCCAAACAAACTCAGCCTCACGGTCCCACATGTTGGGAGTTGGAGTGAGAGTGGCACCTTATTTCTTT